TGTATATTATTGATATTTGTGGTATTTGTTTCAATTCGATTAACATATTGTAATTTCAGATTTTCTGTTTCTTCAAGTTTCATTGTGATTTCCGCTTGTTCTAGCTGGTCTACTAGTTTTCGAAAATCTAAATCGGGCTCTCGAATTGAGGAGGGATGGGATGCTCTCTTTTTTATTGCTATTTTCCTTAATTGAGGTGTTAAGGTCATCATTAAGATTTCTGTCATCTTTGTATTTTTATAATCGTGTGTATTTAATGAATATGCTTTTCGAACTAGTGTTTCGATGCGTACTGCTAATTGTTTGATGGTTTCATTTGGTAATCTGCGAATTTCATTACATAAAACTCTTTGTTGTTGTTTGTTTCTTTCGGAGTCAAACATTTTTGAGAATTCTTGTGTAAATCTCTTCCAATTTGATTTAATTTCTATAGGCAATACTGAAAACCATTTTTGGGCTGCGCCGTCTAAGGTTGTCTGTATCAACGCTGTGCGTCGATGTATCCAGTTTTGATGTAGTGGCGTATTAATTGGTTCAGGTCCTATATTTAAAATTAAATTTGCTGTTACTGCATTTAAATAATCTTCTACATAATATTCAGGGTCTGTTCCTGTGAATACCATTAATGGTTTATTTGACGTTATTGATGATCCACCCATAAGGTATGGATTCATTGTCATTTGTAATGATTCTGCTGCATTTGGCATTTGTGAAAAATTTGAAAGCTGATTTTTTGTTATTTCGTGTTGTTGAAGGAAATATGGAAGTGGTATTTCATTTTGCATTTGTGTTGGTTGATATGAGTGTGTAATCATTGGGTTTTGTGGCTGAATTGGTTGAAAAGATTGTGTATTAATTGGTTTTTGCATTTGTATTGGTTGTTGATTTTGTGTATCTATCTGGTGTGGAGAAAAATTTCTATAATGTGTATATGGTTTCTGCATTCCTTGTCCGCGATATTCTTGGGTATATGGTGCAAATATATCTGGTTGTAAATGATCATCATCAGAGTATAGATAATCCAATTGATGAGATGCTTGTTTTTTATTTTTATTCTGTTGAAAGAATGGGTAATTTTCGCTATGATCCTGTGGAGGATGTGGATTAGCTTGAAAATTTACTGAATTGGTTGTTGCCATTGGATTATTCCAATGTCGAGATCTGATTTGATCATTATTATTATTTCGTGGAGGATATCTTGTTTTTGATGGATGTGTATAATTATAATTATGTTCCGCAAAATTGTTTCTTGTGAACGTTCTGCGTGTTTTTGACGGTATTGTCATGGGTCTATATGTTTGGTAATCCATTTGTGAATATTTTGGTGCAACGGAAGGTTTAACAGTTGATTGTAAGGTTACCTGTGTTAGTGAAGTGTTTGTATTTCTTGGTGTTGTTAAATTTGGACGTATCGGTGAAATGCTTTGTTGTGTAGTTGTTGTTGTTTGGACAATTTCTTCATTTATGAAGTGTGATGGTGTCTGGATATCTTGTTGAGTGAGATTCCTAGTTCCATTAAGGTTTTCATTGTGTATGACGGTCGAGTTTAAACTGTTATTTCGTGTATCAGGTAAAAATGTATTGTAGTTTAATGGTGTTGCATCAATGGTTAATGGTACTACTCTTACATAATCTCTTATATAAGATATTGTACTTATTGCTTGACTTGCAATTGATTGTGGGATATTTATAAATGCATAATGAGACCATTCGGGGTCCCAAACGTAGTCTGACTGTTCTGTGATGGCGGTATCATCATTTGAATTTTGAGGTCTAAAATTTTTTCTTGCTTGTGAAATTAAATCTAGATTATGTGTGAAATAATCTATTATAAACCATGCTAAGATTTTTTGTAAGTCATGTTTTGTATGTTGTGAAACATCATCTTTAGTGAAATTTTCTTTATTTATATTTAGAAAAGATGAAAGTAGTGTGATTTCATGTCGTACCCTTATATGTTTAGATGTCTCTGTCGGTGAGACATTTGAGATTGGGATTTCGTTTTCTAATATTGAGATATAACTGTATATTATTGCAAAAACTTCATTAGTAAATATGGAGTTTGCTCTTTGTGAGTTATGATATTGTATGCTTTTTATATATTCTGAGAGTACTTTTGAAAATTCTAAATCAAGGTCGTCTGTTTGAATTACATATTTGCGGTGATTCGGGTTTGGTGAGCTTAATTCTATGGTGTAGATTCCGTAGTGTTGTGTCAAATTACATATATCTTTCAAATAGTGATCTATAATTTGTCTTTTGATCTTTACATCTGGGAACTCTGTTTTACATGGGCTGTTTCCGGGTTCAAATAAATTTAGTAGTAAATTCTTGCAAAGTATATGCTGTCCTCTATCAGTGGGTGCATCTACGAGGAAGGGGAAGATATCGTCATCATCTGGACTATCTTCACTTGGAGTGTGTGTTTGGCTCATTTTTTCGTTTAATAACTGTTAATAAGTAATTATCGATGTGTCTAATTGGTTGATTCCAATTATACAAATGTACTGGTTTGTGTTTATATTGCTTTTTTATTCGTCTTTTTCCTCTTTTTGATGAATTTGAAGTTGTTTCTGAGTCGGAAAAATATAATTGATCGTGAATAGGGCAATTTTTATCTATAGATTCTTTTAATTTATAAAGTTCGTCTAAATTGCTGGCTTCTGATTCTGAAAATGCGTTTCTATTTTTGGAAAATCTTTTTCGTGTTATTTGTCTTTGTTTAGTTATTATTTTTCTTTTTAGTGTTTGTCGTTTTGTTCTAATGTATCCAACTGTTTGTGTATGAGGTGTGATTACAAGATCGTATTTTTTGTTTTCTATTTCACAGTTGTGCAAAACGATTGTTTGTTTGTTTCCTAGATTTTTAAATGACATAAGGCTTAGGATGACGGATGCAAAGGGTTGTTAGATGATTTTTATTTTCTTAAATTGTTAGTCCTTACGATTTTTTGGTTAGCTTAACCTGGGTCTATTTTTCAGGGTTGGAGAGAAGAGTAAATCGATTCCGAAGAATGATTTTTTACTTTCTCGTGGCTAGTATAAGCTAAGGTGTTAACTTACTTAATCTTACTTAAGGGTAGTGATTGTGTTCAAGGGTTGGAGAATAGTAAATCGATCCACAAGGTTCAGGTATAATTAGAACGCGAGTAGTTCGTTAGATACTATTTTAAACTTACTAAGTCTAAGATTTATCCTGGGTCTGGTAAGAGGGGGGATCAAGTGAAGGACGAATAACCGAAGTTCTTCACTGTTTATCCTAATTTGAATGATTAGTTTTGTTCAAAAATTTCTGTTAGTCCTGGGTTTTTAGAAAGGGTTGGATAGTGAATCGACGTTTGAGGTCGTTAGACACTAGCTAAGTGCGTGGGGGAGAACAAAATTGTTCTTTTTGATCCAAGGATAGGCCTTGATGATCAAGTTTTAAATTTCAATTAAATAGAAAATGAATTTAGATCCAAGGATAAGCCTTGATGATCTGGTTTGAAAATTAAGTGAATTTAAGTTTAAAATGGTTTTAATGATATTAGTGAGCTTATGATTGCTGTTATGTTTTAGGTGATGAAGCTGAGACAACTGATGATCTTATGATTACTAACAATTTATTGTCATGCTACTAATTTTTGTTTTGTTTTTCAATAAATATTTTCCAAAAATGTTTTATATAATACTGCAGAATTTTGAGGGAAACGATCTGAGATCTTTTTATCAATCGTTATTGTATATTAATATTTTGTTTAGCGCCTGTAATGATCATGAAGTTTTGACTTCAAAATTTTATGTTTGCAAATGAAAATCTAAATTCATTGCTAATAAAATTCTAAATATAAAAGTTTGTGTTGGCTTTTGCCGTACTATCATATAGCTATCTGGTAAGTTTCTACTTTGTCGTATGTCGTCTCTGGTTCGAGGTCTTCTTCCAATTCCGGGTAGTTCTCTTATCGTTCGGAATATTGGCTTTGATCTATTGAGTCGTAGAGACATTTCGATTAAATTATCGTCGTGTAACATTTGAAAAATGTTTTGTCTAAATTCTAATCTATTTTTGGTTAATTCTAAGCTATTAAGGTCTTGTTCGAGACTTATGGTCGCACCAGATGAGTTAGGACCGAAGTGTATAACTCATAGAGTAATTTCGGATAGGGTACACCGTCTGCTCGTCACGCTATCTTATTTTCGGCCGGATAGATTCGTGCAACTTCTTAGTCTAATACCGATCCTAATCTTACTCTTATACTATCTAGTCTCAGGTTGTTTAACTAGTCTCTGCTAGGCTCAATAGATCTAGGGTATACTGGTTTATTGCGGCTGCTGAAGTCTTCTTGGAGAGTCAACTAATTTCTAAGTTAAATTCAAATCTCTCTGGTGCTGAAATTACAAGTAATTTCAGCACTTACAAATAAGTGGGTTGTTAGTTAGATGGATCATGATTGGTTAATATTAAATACTTTACAGTGGTAAAATATCTAATTTATCCAATCATAAAATGTAGTTTAGATCAGGTTCCACAATGATCAGCGTTCTAGCACGGGTTTTTTTACACTTTTATTTTTTTAAATTTTAATTCACTTTATCCATTTCAGTCACTATGCCTACCCACCTACTCACTCAGGGGCCTTTGAATCTAAGAGCCTTTGAAACTGGGTGGGGTTACACTAAGAATTTTTTTCATATATTTTTTAATTTTTTGCTATGGCGGGAACCGGCTGCTGTTGATGGTTCAGAGCTTTCGAAAATAATCCGGGTTAAGCAAAAGGTGGAACTCTAGACCATATCCCTGAGTTTTTTGTTCTTTTTCTCGCCAAATTTTTTCACAAATGTTCTACATAAAATTCGTCTTTAAAATTAATACATGAATAGTACTTTATATTTTAAGATAATTGAACGTTAGAAGAAGTTGTTTACACTTCTTATGTGAATAAGTTTCAAGATAGAGAATTTTTGATATGATGGTCAACCTCGGAATAAGAGTTTATTTTGTTGCTTTGTGTTATGCTTAGGCATGACTTCGGTGTTGACTCACAGTGCAATGACTACAGGAAAGGATGATGACAACTCGATGAAGTTACTCGTGGCTGTGTTGAATGGGGTACTCTCTGTATGGACGGCCGCACAGATGAAGCTAGGGTGAGAGAGAATTTGTTTTACATAAAACCCCTCCCTTGATAGCTTACTACTTCCTAAACAAGTTTTTTGTGGGTAATAGTGGCGAATAATTTATAAGCCATTGTCTCGGAACTTCATAAACTTCACCCAATTTACTTAAATCGTATTCGAATTAAGCACTCAACAAATGCGAGCAGGTTTTAAAGACAGCTCACATTAACTGCGATAAGAAACAATTGCTCTCAATCGAAAATGCTAGCTTAGATAATCGCTACTACCCTCTCGGCTACTACCCTCTCGGCTACTACCCTCTCGGCCAACAAATAACCTCTAAGTTAAGCCGCCTCTACTCAATGATTCCATCGCAGCCTTCAGCGCTGAATACTTTTCCGGAAATCACACAAGCCATCGAACAAATCAAATCAACAGTCTCCATTCAACCAAAGGAACTATCGTTTCGTTTTGTGAGAGTCTAGTGGCAACTCGCTGAAGAGATATCAGATTCAAAGGAGAACTTGAAGTTGTTAAAATAACCTCAAATGAAACATTTGTTCAATCAAGCTTCTCGGAGCTCATGCAGACGAAATATCAGCTTATCCACCATCTAACCAAAAAGTCTTCGATACTAAAACAGGGGAGAAGTTACTAGAAGTTCTAGAACGGGATGCACAAAAATGAGTCGTCGGGATGCCTCAAGTCAGCAAAAGGCAATTCGAAGACATCAGAAGCAATGTTTGCTCACACACAAACTTCTCACACAGCTCACAAACTAACCTACAGCCTTTCAGTATCAACGCTAGCCATCCACACTTCTTTTTTAACTGTTCGAACAAATCAATTTGCCTTCCGCGAGCCAATGAAAATCAACTAGACATTGCATGGCATGGCCATTACACTCTTTCGAAAACACAAGAATTGGTCCAAAGCCGGTTAAGATTTTCGCCACAAAGATAGCCGAATTTTCCAATTTCCGAAGCATCTTCAACTCCAACTTTAACTTTCCAACTTTTAACTCGCTGTTCCTCTCTTCAAGCAAACAACTACTGCAACAAGGTCGTATTTTTATCAATAAACGATTCTAGCGGGAATACACATACCCCATTATTTGAATAGATTTTCTGCCAAATTCAAGAATTCAGCCACTCCTTAAACGCTTAATCTCCTTTTGAAGTTATGAATCATATCTCACGTTTTGTAATTCACCCTTTAAAATAAATTCATTGTTTTAGTCAGGGGTGGATGTAGGATTTTCTCGAGGGGAGGCGGATTTTCAAAAAAAACTTTGAAGACCTTTTTTTTTGATTTTCCGAGCTCTCCTAAGCACTAAAAAGACGCTGTTTTGGCAAATTTTCTGCGCCGTAGGCAAATTTTTGAAAAAACAGGCCAAAAAGGCCGTTTTGGGCACTTTTTGGAAAATTTTGACAAAAAAAATGCGTTTTATTTTGGCGCGCGCTCCCCCTCAGAGTTAGTATTATTGGCGCCAAAGGCGCCTTTAGAAAATTTTTAGAGCCAGTCGGCCAAAAATGAATTTCCTAAAAAGGGTCGGCAGGGTGTCGAACCCCTGAGGGAGGGGGGGGGGCGTCCGCCCCCCGCCCTTCCCCTAAATCTGCCCCTGGTTTTAGTGGTGATATGTTTTTGATAGATTTTTATCAAAATTTTTTGTTCCGACTATTCTGTTTTTCAAGCTTTTTGAGGCCAGAAGTAGCCAAGAAAATGAAATTTTCAGATCTGAAATGGCCGAGAAAAAAAAAACCGAGAAACAAAACTCTCAGCTTGTTTTACTCGATACTGAGACAAAGTGTTTTTGTTTTTTATTGCAAAACCACCTATGTGAATTGTAACCCTATAAGCTAGTTTGGGAAGAAAAAACACACTACTATATAGTTCGTTACCAGCCCCTAGGGGTTGTTCAGAACAAAAAAAAACGAAAACGAAAACTAATTGAGGTAATGAAAGTGATGGTTAAAATCTCAGTCATATTTATGTCTGTTCAAGAAAAAAAAACAAGCTTCTATCATTGCTGACATAGATACCAAACGGTGGCATACTATATATCATCATGTTTAAAACATCGAAAACTTAGCGCTTAAAACGCTAATACTGATTTGTTTCTAAAACAACTCTTAAGCATAGTTGAATTTGGTACAAAAATTAGTATCATGTAATTTGTGCGGAATTCACTAATTGAAATACAGATAATTTGTTCAAATTGAATTAATAAATGAGTCATGGTAAACAAATTGAGAGCAATTTAAGACTCGTAGCCAATAGTTTTACACACTTTATAACAAAAAAAAACTTTGAAACTTTCCAAAAACATGCTCTTTTTTGAAATAACCTTTCTTGAGGCAATTCTATGCAACTCAAAAATTTTTTAAAAAAACTACATGTATAGATACTTTAATAAACGACGGAAAATGTATGTTAATAATAATTTTTAAAAAGTCAAGTATGTTGCTGCCTTTCCTTTGCTGATACCCAATTTATTTTACAGCTAAAATCACTGTGTTCCTTTCTTCTTCATCATGGCTGATATCATGATTGATTTCTTAAACTAAATTCTTAGCAACATTCGACGATTTTGAATAACTTTGAAAGGAATATATATAAAAAAACAGTTTTATTGCATCAAACTTTGAAATTCAATTGAATTTTGATGTATACGTTTGCCCACACAAAATTCATAAAACATTTTTACAGGTTGAGCGAAATCTTCATTCAATATCTTTTTTTGATAATAATTCTTCATTTTCATAATTTTCATAAGTTTTCAAAAAAATTTAATATTCAAAAAACTTTTGCGGTTTAATTTCTGCTATTACAATTTTTCGGTTGCACTGGTGGTAACCAATTTTAGACTGCCTGCAAATGACATTCTCTTTTTCCGTTATTTCTTCACTTCAAATCGATTGCATCAAAACTGGAGTTATATAGCTTTTTGTGTTCCAAAACAAAATTTGGCAAGTTGCTGCGTAAATTACTAAAATCAAAATGTCACAGCTGAACCTTCCGGTGCACAATGAAAAAGACGGTAAAAGCCTTAATCACGACATTGAGATGAAAAGGAGATTCAGAAGATTCAAGAATTTGAATTTTCAGTTTTTCGATTGGGATTGAATTATTTTTTGAAAAATACTAGATCCGGTCGTTTTGACAATCGATTTCAGCGTGTCAAAAACACAATAATAAAATATGAGAACAAAGAAAGTCAAGTAAAGAAATTAGATAATAGAATCGAAACGAAGCCTCCCATCGTGCACCAAGACACGATAAGAAGCTTTTTCGTGGAAGGAAGCGAAACCGCATGGTCCAGTGGGATATTGGGGACAGCTCCAAACCCTCCTGAGCATTAAAAGATAAGGGACAACTGGGAGAAGTTGGAATTAGATGCCCGGTGCCAAGAGAGTCTTCCAACAGACATTAAACCTCTTTTAGCTTAACTCAATATTGATTTGGTATTGCAGAGCAAGATTAGTTAGGGGCGGGAAAAGGGTCAATCCATCTCTAATGGACCTTATATATGTCACTAAAAAGGTATCTAGTTTAGGATTCTAGCCGTGTTTTTAGTAATAATCGCCTTGTCTGGGGATCCGAGACCCAGCTATGAGGTTATTTTTGAGGTTACGAAATCTGATTAATGCACATTTTAATAACGATGATGTAATAGCTAATAGAACAGTTGATTGTAAAGGATTAAAACTGGATTTCAGACTTAATTCAAATTTCTATCAGCTCATTCGACTCTGATCATCTAGTTTAGACTGAATAAAGAAAACATTGTTTTTGAAAAAGTTCATTTCGCATCCATTAATAAAAAATCTGACGCTGTAGCTCTACGATCTTTCTATGAGGTAATCAAAGTTGGGAAGAAAAAACCCACTCAGCCATAGTTTTTCAACAGCCCATTGTGGTTCTTCAGAACCGAAAAAAAAAACGAAAATGGAATGAAATTAAATCCGGTCTTCCGGGGTTGAAATTTCAGTCGAATTTATCGTTGATCCAGGTCAAAATTAATGTTTGTCGCCGCTGATTTAATTCCTAAAAAGTGGTATATAATTTATAATTAGGCTTAAGACATCGAATGGTTAGAATGCCGATTTAAGCGTTGAAGTATCTCTTATCCAGATATGCATTTTTGGGACCATTGGTGATCACATTTTGAATCAGCGCTGGTGTGACTTATCGGGTTAATCTGCCTCTTAAAAATCTGCTGAACCTTGTGCTTTTGATTTTACATTTGGACAACAACAACATGGATTCCGGAATTGATAGTCAACTTGTTTGCAACATTACAAGATTTAAACAATTTGAGTTCAGTATTTCTACTTACGTTTGTTTGTTTTTGTTTTCGGCTAGATGGAACCAGAAGTATCAGTCGGCCAACTCGACTCTGATCAAGTACAGAGACATGAGTGGAAGAGTGGCCATGTTGTGTCTCATTCTCGACTGCCAGAAGACCAAATGTGAGTCCAGATAGATTGTTCATAAAGAGAGTTATAAATTATTACTTTGGTTCAAGATTTCAATCGACAAAAAATGTGTGTTTACTAAATAGAATGAAATCAGACCCCGACCGAAGTATGCAATATGCAGTAGGCAGTATGGGTTTTTAGTTGCTGTGAGTGTCGATGCGCGATACTTGTATTGCCCCTATCACAATAAACTCACGCGACTGTGATGGATGACGATTGTTTGCAAGGAGAATAATTTATTACAGAATTTTTTTTGATGCAATATTTATTAGGTTTTGACAAAAAAAGTTTAGTTTTTGGCCTGCGCTCTTTCTCAAATATACCCGCTCTGACAAAATTCCGATGGATTTTAGTGAGTCGGTAAATCCATCGAAATCGATTTAAATCGATTTTTTAGACACTTAAATCGATTTAAAATTTTCAAAAAAATCGAATTAAATCGGTTTAAAATCCATTTGAGTTTGTAAAATGGTCATGGTTAAACACTTTAAATTGATTTAAAATCGATTTAAAATCGATTTAAATCGACCGGAAACCATTTCTGTCAGTGCGGGTATGATAATATTACAATTAAAGTTGCAACTATTATGTTTGCTTTGAATTGCAGCAGCCGTTGGCGTTGTGGAGTTCATCAACAACTGTTACGAGAACGAGAAAAACATCATGCAGAGTGAGATTGCCATTCCCACCTTCATCGCCCGCAAGTACAGGAAGGCAGCCATCTCCAAGGTACGAAACATTTGAAGAAAGGATTTTAGTTAGTTTCTGAGTAGTTGGTTAGGACGATTTATCCACAAGGGAAAAAACAACATAGGAGCCTGTCAGCTCTTTACAGAGAATCGCTGTTGAGCCCCTGTAGAAAAAAGAGTTTTGCCTTATATTCTTTTCATTTAAAATACAAAAATGCTATAATTGATTTTGAATTTTCTTAGTTTCTTAGTTTTCAAAATTTGTTTAGTTCAACTTATGGTGAAATTGGTTGTTAAATTTTGGCGGATGGCATGGTCTGATTTCTGACTTTTAAGACAACTTTTAATTGTCCGTATGCTAAGATCCTATATGTCAGATAATAAAAATACGGCAAACTATTGCAAACATTCAAAAAAATCCTTCACTATGGCAAAAAAAAAACACATTCTTGTTCCGACTTTCGAAGAAAATAAAATAATTAGGCTTGAAGTGGTTTTTATTCAGTCAATTTTCAAAAAAAAAATACCAAAAAATCAACAACAAAAATTATGCACCATTGAAAATATTGACTACCTGATTCAAATTCAAAAAAAAAGATTTTACCTGCGATCATTTTTTGCAAACTTTTGGGAGTTTAAGAACTGACAATTTGGCCATGCTCTGGACTAATTTATGCGCGCTTTGTAGACATTAACAATCCATAATTCTGAAAGCAAAAAAAATTGAATGAAATTATAACAAATGTTGAAGTCAATCATTTATAAAAAAAAGAGTTACTGTCTTCAACTTGAGGCCGATACGAAGCGGACGTGTGTCAAAACAAATATTCGAGCACTTTCAAAATTATATTTTGTTTCAAAAACTAATATTTAAATACTTTATCTATTAGTTTCTCCTGAATTGGCTGTTCAGAAACTTGTGGTTGAAATTGGTTGGTTCTTTGCATATTAAAAAATAAAAAGTTATTTTTTATCGTTGATATTGTCACGTTGTTTTCTTCGTTGTCATTTGTGTAGGAAATGCTCTGTGAAACAATTAATATGTGTCGTAACTGTTAAGCATCTGTCAGTTTTGTACCTTGTAGCAATCCCCCTTTGCAACAGAGGGAAATAGTTAGCCAGATCCCTTAGTTCATAACTATCATTACGAGCAGGGCAAACGAGTGTCTGTATGACTGTGGAACACGGAAACAGACCTTTAAACTAGATCAAATCAATCAAAGAAACAAATCCCTACAAACAGAAAGATCAGAGAAAACCGACCTGAAACTCCGCCCGCAGAATACACCATTTGCCATCGCAAAGATAGCCGAGTCGAGATTTTTGTCTAAATTGAAGCAAGATTTGAGCGGTTTGAGTGGTTTTTTCATACAATTGCGCTCAAAACCCCGCAAAAATGAGCGGTTTGAGAGTTTTTTTACTGCTTTTCAACAAATGTTTGAGTGGAAACATTGTCAAGATTAAGCCAATTGAGTTAGGACCGAAGTGTATAACTCATAGAGTAATTTCGGATAGGGTACACCGTCTGCTCGTCACGCTATCTTATTTTCGGCCGGATAGATTCGTGCAACTTCTTAGTCTAATACCGATCCTAATCTTACTCTTATACTATCTAGTCTCAGGTTGTTTAACTAGTCTCTGCTAGGCTCAATAGATCTAGGGTATACTGGTTTATTGCGGCTGCTGAAGTTCTCTTGGAGAGACAACTAATTTCTAAGTTAAATTCAAATCTCTCTGGTGCTGAAATTACAAGTAATTTCAGCACTTACAAATAAGTGGGTTGTTAGTTAGATGGATCATGATTGGTTAATATTAAATACTTTACAGTGGTAAAATATCTAATTTATCCAATCATAAAATGTAGTTTAGATCAGGTTCCACCCATCCGGGTTTTACAGAGTTTTTTAGAATAGTTTTTCTGTAATTCAAAGGATGGATGATGGACGTTGGTATTTGGCGAACATCATAATTCTTCTGGGTTCTCTTGTTAGAGAAGTTCCAGGTTCAATCGTTGTGTCTTCTCAAGACAACGACTGGGTTTTCGCAACAAACTCAAATCTGATTTCAGAATGGTTGGCTATGACAGGTTTTTCCGTTTCAGGTAGAGAACTTCTTTTGTGTTTGACCTTGTCTGGGAATGGCGTGGAGGTTGTGCGTGGAGGGGATGCCTGGTTACTCGGATCTGTACGTATACTTGAACATCGAAGTGGTCATTGGTCTAGTTCAATGAAGTCCTTTTCTGCGAAGTTAAGTCGTACTCTAAATCCTTTGAGTTGTGATTGTGGGCGGCATATTGATTGTGGTTGGCCATTCTTTTTCGAGTGTAGTGGGGTCATTTTGTCTTTGGATGTTCGTCTTTGGTGTTGTTTGTTGATCTATATACTGCAAAGTGTAATTTACAGTTTATAAAATTTTTATTAGTTCGGTGTTTTTGTTATGATTTTGGTTAGTTCTTTTCACAAAAGCTTTTTGTTTTAGTTCGGTTATTTTGAAGAGTTACTCACCCTTGAGTACCTCTTATTAAAAATAGAAGTGTGGTCACAAAGCGTGGATGTGTTTTATTATTTCTTTCTTAGACTTTATAATAGTCTTCAAAAGAATAAATTATCCAGTTTTAAACTGGGTTTATCCGGTTTGGGTACCGTTGGTTTCCTTTTCTTAGTCATGCTGTTATTCTATGTGTTGTGGTGTTTAGTAAGCTGCGTTGGTTAGTTTTGTTTAGTATATAATTTCTTTCCAACCGGGTTAAAGGAAAGTTTGAAACTTGTTATCGTGTGTTAGAGTTGTTGAGTGTGAAAACTTGAAACTGAAATTCATTATTTTAAACAATTCTTTGTGGGCGAGCTGTGCGAGTTTGGATAGAATTCTTGTGCGAGTGAATGAAAATATCAAAAGGTCAGTACTGCATTTGTGTTTTATTAATTTACTACATAGAATCTTAATTTTACTGCTAGTTTTGGGAAAAATTAAGTTACAAATTTCCATCATGATTAGATTTACTGCTTATGGGGAAACAATTTATAAATTAATTTACTACATTGGTATGAATTTTATTTAAATTAGTTTGTAAAAAATATTAATAGAATTTTAAACAATTTGAAGAAGTTTTCTATTTTTTATTTTTCTTTTGTGTATTTTGCAGATGATCGTGAGATGAAGACTAAAAATCTAAATAAAACATGGGTAAAGAATGGTTAGTGTTTTATTTTAAATTTATTAGTTAAGAATATGTATAAATTATACTTACCTGTTAGTCGTCGGGAAAAAAACGTGGGGGAAGATGTCGTGGATTATCTCGGAATTTGTTAGTAACTTTGCTAGTATGCGAATGATGTTTTTAGTTTGAAGCAGTGGCCAAAGCAATTGAAGTGCTTTAATGGTTTTTAGTTCTTCAGTGCCAACTGCAAAATCATAAGGTGAGTTTTGGATGAGATTATATAATTTGTGGTTATATTTAGTGTTGTGGATGAATTCTAATATGGGGATTTCTATAGGTTGAACAAATTCGTGTGGGATAAGGAAGGGTCTGGATTCTTCTGCGTTGAAGGTCTTTGTGATGGGACAAAAAATATACATTTGGGTGATGGGATCATAATTGCGAAGAATACCGTGAAGGTTAGTATCTTTGATGCAATATGTGAAGTTAAGAAAAAATGGTGATGTGTATTTAGAATTAATAAATTGAAAACGATGATGTGGTTGTCTTGATGGAGTGTGTAGGTCAAAGTGATTTTGTATAAAGCGGTAATATGTATATGTGTGGGTTTATTTAGTGCGTAACATAATGTCGTGTGAGCAGTGCAAATCTCGTTCATGTGGTGCAAGGAAATGAAAGGTTAGTGAAAATAATTGAAATCTTTCTTTAAAACTTTCGTAAGCTTGTGTGTCGGTTAGTGCTTCAGAAATGATGTGGTCGAATTTGCGATCAAATATATTGAGTGTAAAAACATATGGTGTTTTGATGAAAAATTTTTCTGTGATTTGTGGGTTAGCAAAGCGATCATCATCTAAAAATTGGTCTTGGTTAGTTCGGATGATGTTGTGATCGTAATATTCTAGCGTATATTCGTTAGCTCGGGGTGCAGTGTATGTTTTTAGTGATTTTTTATATCCAATATAAGTAAATTGTCTATGTGTTAGTGGTGTAGTGAGTCGATATAGCATATCTTGATTTCTTTCTATATCGATGTGAGTATTAGATAAAGGTAGGCAAAGGGGGTTAGTAAAATGATAATATGATGTCCAATGAAGTGTAGGCATTAAAACTTGTTCGTCTACAAAGCTACGTGTATCGTTAGTATCGGTAGGGGTGTTCGAGGTATATTGTGGAAATGAAGGTAAGGTGATTGCTAAAAACTCTTTCGTGTTAGTGTGATTCGGATGATTAATATATTCACGGGCTGTTCCTGGTTTTGTTGGAAATGGGTGGTTTGGGAATTTTCTTTTGAAAGTGCGGTAAGCTCTATTAGTGCTAACTGATGATTCGGTGGATGTGGATGATGGTGCTAATGATGCGGTATAAGCTGAAGAGGGTGTAGGGGTAGGTGGGTTTGATGATTCTATGGTTGATGAAATCTGGTTTATTATTGACGTGTCAAGGTGGAAGGGTTGTTGTTGTAAGGTGATAAAATTATCTAGTTCTTGGGAGATTTGGGGGGTGTCTGGAGAATTGGATGATCGGTCTGAATGAAGTGAAGAGTAGGTTGGGGTAACTTGTGAAGCATAGGAGGGTGTAGAAATGCATGGGAGTGGGTTATTTGGTGGGATTGGTTGAAAAGGGGGTTTCGAAAAAACTGAGGGATTGGTTTGAAAATTATTGGATGGAGATGTTTCAGAGTCGGCAAATTCGTCAGGGGTTTCAATATCTGGGTTATTGAGTTGTGAGATGGAGTATAAAACTGAGATGTGTGAATTAGTGTCTGAATTCATGCCTGATGTTATATTATTGGTTGGGAAATCGGGTGGTGGGAAAGCAAAAAGTGGAATTATTGTAATTGGAGTGTTGAGATTGGTTGGGTGGGAATTTGAGCGGTGTAGGGA